CCTTTTGAACCAGATAGAAAGAGTAATGTCTTTTTTCTTTTGCACCATAGTAAAATATTCATAGCATATAATATCATTTTGACTATTTTAAAAGCTGTGGTTAAAAAACCCACTCACATAAAATTCATCATCTTAACTATTAAGTGTTCAGTACAGTAGAGCTAATTATAGACACATTGTTGTACAAGAACTCCCTAGAAGTTTTTCATCTTTTTTTTGGAGACAGGGTCTTGCTAGGTAGTTCAGGCTGGAACTCACTATGTAGCCCAGGCTGGCCTCAGACTTACAGCAATCCTCCTGACTCAGCCTACTGAGTGCTGGGATTACAGGTGTGTACCACCACACCCAGAAGAAGGTTTTCATTTTGAAAAGTTGGAGCTTTATAACCTTGCACAGTCTCTCCTTCCCCTGTCTCCAGCTGCTGGCATCCACCATTCTATTTTTTGTTTCTAGGAGTCTGACTGCTTTAAATACTTCCTTTAAGTGGAATTGTGCAATCACTGCCCTTTGTCATTGGCTTCTTTCACTTAACACGGTGTCATTAAGGTTCATCCATATTGTTCATCATATGACATAATTTCATTTTTTTAAGACTGAGTAATATCACAGTGTATGTAAATACCATATTTTATTTATATTGTCTTTTTTTTTTTTTTTTTTTTGAGGCAAGGTCTCACTATGTAGTCCAAGCTGGCCTGGAACTCACTGAGATCCTCCTGCTTCAGCCTCTCCCATCTTCTGTTAATGGATATTTAGATTGTTTCTAACCTCTTTGCTATGAAGTCATAATATTGCAAAGAACATGGATATGCAAATATCTCTTTAAGACCCTGGGGTTTTTTTTTATGGGAGAGTTTGGTTTTTTGAGACAGGGTCTTGCTGTATATTCTAGGCTGGTCTTGAACTCACTATGTAGTTCAGACTGGTCTCAAACTTGTGGCGATCCTCCTGCCTTAGTCTTCTGAGTGCTGGGAGTACGGGCTTGTGCTTATTGTTGCTTTGTAATAAATTTTTAGGAAGGGTGAAGCCTGTAGTTTTGTCTTTCTTCCTCAAGATTATCTTGGCTATTTTGTGCCCTCTGAGATCATTTTAACCATTTTTAGGCTGCAATTCAGTGGGATGAAGTACATTTACTGTATGGTGCACCTGTCACCACTGTCCGTGTTCAAAGCTTGTTCACCGTCCCCAGTTGAAACTCTATTCCCATTAAACAGTAACCGGTCCCGGCTCTGGTGTCCACCGTTCTGCTCTCGGTCACTATGAATTTGACTGTTCTGAGTCCATCATGCAATATTTGTTCCTTCACCTCTGGGTTATTTCACATGGCAGTATCATAAAGGTTCATCTATGTTATAGCATGTGTCAGAATTTCCTTCCTTTAAAGGCTGAACAATTTTCCATTCTTCATAAATAATGTGTAATCAAAACCAGGGTGAATGTTTAAACAGAAAAATGTGTTACAGTAAAAGATACATTGCCATTAATCCCCCTCAAAATCATCCCCTGTGCTTTAAACACACTTCTCTCATCTTTCTTGCTTTTTTTTTTTTTTTTTTGAGACAAGTCCCCTAATGTAGTCCATGTTGGCCTGGAACTCACAGCGATCCTCCTGCCTCAGCCTCCCAAGTGCTGGGATTTGAGGCGCACACCACCACGCCCAGCCCATTCTTGCTACTTCCTGAAGCCACTCTGGAAGTCCCCTTCCATGGGTGTCTTTACTTGTGTTCTATGGCTGCCTTGATGTCCTGAATCTATTCAAAAGGTTTACCTTTCGGGGTCACTTTGATTTTGGAGACCCAGAAGTGGCCGGTAGCAGATCCAGAGAATAAAGCAAATAGGACACACCGTGATGCTTCCACAAGCCTGCCTGGGGTGGGTGGCACTCACTGTAGCTTTGATCACAGCTCATGAGGACACTTGGGGAAGAGGCTTCCAGAACTGCTCAGTGGGAGAGAAGACTGAAAACTGGGGAGCTGGGGGCCCCAGGGAATGGAGAGCCCCCCACGGTGCCATGCAGTAACACGGCCTATCTGAGATCCTGGCAGATCTCAGCTGTGTGTGGACAGACCTTCACACACATTGGTGTGGGAGAAAGTTGGGGTGCAGATCAGTGCATACAACTGCTATAGTTGAGTCCTGAAGGTACCCCAAAGATCCATGTGTTAAAGCCTTGGTTCCCAGCCATGCCACACATTTGGCTTGCATTCTTTCGTTTTCGTACCGGGAATTGAACTCAGGACCTTGCACTTTCCAGGCAGGTGCTTATGCCACTGAGCTATATCCCCAGCCCTGGGCTTGCATTCTTGTCAACAGTTTTCACTCTATTGTACTTTGCATTTAATCCCTAGAACCCGGATCTATACTGTTGAATACGGTTATGTCACTGTTCGTTACTTAAATACAATTTTTGGTACAAAGATATTAAAGGATGGCCAGGTGTGGTAGTGCACACCTGCAATCCCAGTGCTTCAGAGGCTGAGACAGGAGAATCACAAGCTAGAGGCCAGCCTGAGGAACTTAATGGGTGCCTGTCTCAAAAAAATAAATAAATAAATAAAAGGCTGGGGACATAGCTCATTCACAGAGTACCCTGGAGTTCAGTCCTTAATATTGAGGAAAAACATGCTATTAAAGGAAACCTCAGAGTAACACACACCTGTAATCCCAGCGCACAGTAGGCTGAGGCAGGAAGATGGGGCATTCAAGGCCAACCTGGGCTATACAGTGGGGGGAAAAAAGATATTAAAGGAAAAAAACTGACCCAGGCAAAAATCTTAATAAAACAAAAAGATCATAATATTAGAGGAAGCAAGAAAACCAGAAAAAAGGTTGCTGTGACTATTCAGGCAAAAAGTACATGGGGTGTGTGTGCACACGCGCATGCGCGCACACACACACACACACACACACACACACACACACACACAGAGCTGGGTTGGGGCAGTCAAGCTGGGCTGAATTTTTTGATGGGTGCTCCCTGTAATCTTTCTGGATGCTTAAATTCAAATTTTCTCTTTCTCTCTCCCTCTCTCTCTCTTTTGAGACAGGGTCTCCTTGTGTAGCCTTGGCTGGCCTTGAACCCCCAGCAGTCCTCCAGTCTCAGATTCCCTAGTGCTGGGTTTACAGGTGTGTGCCACCATATCTAGCTAAATGTTTGTTGGTTGATTTTTTTTTTTTTTTAGATAAGGTCTCATCTCGTTGTTCCAGGCTGGCCTTCAACTCACTATGTAGTTTAGGCTGGACTTAAACTGTCTGTGATCCTCCTGCCTCAGCCTCCCAAGTGCTGGGATTACATGTTCGTGCCACCCTGCCCGGGACTGTTTAACTTCTGTTTCATTTTCCTAGATGGGACTGGATTCCCAGGGTTGTCGTAAGAACTAAGTGACTCACTATGTGGAAAATGCTAAACTTGGGAGGTATCATGGGACGGGTGCACAAAAGGACAGCTTGTACTTGAAATGGAACTGTTACTTGTTTTTATTTTATTTTTCTGCAGTGCCAGGAGCCAAGTCCAGGGCTTGTGTATGCTGAGCAAGTGCTCTACCCCTGAGCCCACCTCCTGCCCCTACAAATCCTATCTATAAGGAAATACTGTGCAGCCTATGTTGTAGAGGATGTGGAGAGACCCCTTGTTCCAGGGCAGATGGCTGGCTGGCTAATCATTACCTACTCTCTCCTTCTACCTCACAAACGGAACTCTGGTTTTACTTAGATGGCAGTGTTCTCAGCTATAAAATTATATTTCTCGGTCTCTTTGCAAGTGCAGGGGTCAACTAGGTATAATAAATATTTGGGTAGAATTTCTGGGGAAGCTACTTAATAGCAACTAATTTAGCAGGGAGACACGGCATACTCTTCTGTTCTGACCCCCTTGTCCTTCTTACCATTGGAAACAGGATGTGATTGCCGGAGTTCCAGTAACCATTATGTGACTATGAGGCAATGTTAAGGATGCTTTGGGCAGTAAGGATGGCAAAGAAACAGGAAGAAGCCTCAGCCTCTGAGGACCACAGGGACACACAACCAGCCCTATCTGTCTGCTGATTTTTTTTTTTTTTTAATGTGAGAGAAAAAATAAACCCCTACTTTGCTTGAGCCACAGTTATTTAAGGCTTTTGTTGCTGGTAAACCATACTTCTTTCTGAATGACACATCCTTTCCAAAAGATATTTAAGGGTTGCAAAGCAATACTCAGAGCTGGGGTTGGCAAACTTTTATGGTAAAAGGCCAGACAGTCACTCTTTCAGGCCTTTCCAAGCAGGTAGTCTGCACAGCAGCTGCTCTATACATAAGCAACCACTGAGAATACATAAATAAGCACAGCTGTGCACCAGCAAAATTTTATTTACAGATACTGAAATTTGAATTTAATATCATTTTCATGTGTTTTGAAGTATGTTTGCTTTTTTTTTTTTTTTTTTTTTGCTTCACCTCCTACTTTCTATTTTCTGCAACCATCTGAAAAATATAAAAGCCATCCATCCTTGGCTTACAGGTCACACAAAACCAGGATTTGGCCAGGCGTGGTGGTGCACACCTGTAATCACAGCACTGGAGAGGCTGAGGCAGGAGGATTGCTGTGTGTTCGAGGACAGCGTGGGTTACATAGTGAGTCCCAGGCCAGCCTGAACTACAGAGCAAGACAT